TGAATGATGAATGCGACTGCGCAATAAAGTAAACAGAATTAAAAAGTAACCGTGACGCGACATTTACATACACAGTTTGAACATGTTAAAGAATTAATTGCGAATACCGTAGATAGTTCGTTTCTTCATTGCATAAAGTATAAATAGCATAATTGGACGGTGATCCTTTAAATTGATGTGGAACATTTTCTATAAGTTTGAATGGAATAACTATAGAGTTACCTCTTCACAACAAAATAACGAATCATCAAAATCGGTTCACAGATATTGGCGTAATCTCGTAACATACCTAAACAAACAAAAAAAAACTAAAATAATTCGGTAACATTTATTCTTTTTTAGCCAGTCTTTTAAAAATAAAACAATGTCTCCATAAAGCAAAATGTTCTATCTACAATGTTAAAAGTATTTTCCCTTCGTGTCTATACTATGTAGTGCAAGAGTTAAGTAGGCCTTTTGTGCAAAATTTTAATATTGCATAAAGTTAATAGCAACCGGTTTAGTTGATAACTTCAAGGGCGCGCAACAGTACTTACGTAAATCCAGCAAATAATGGTTGGAATCGCCGCGACCCTATTGTGACGAAATCGAATTGTTGGTGCTGTGTGGTCATTTTGCCTTTTACGAGTTTGCGTGTATTGTGCTTTGAAATTTGAACGGTTACTTACTTACGAACGTCATTAAGAGCATTCGATTTTTTTTATCACAAGCGGGCCCTGTGACAATCTCCTTACTTATTACTTTTTTAAGCAATTTGACAAAAAGGAGGTTCTCAATTTGACTGCATTTTTTCTGCATGTTACGCGATTACTTGACCTACCTCAAGTTTGTGGAATTACATTTATTTGCCAAGTTTCATTGAAAGCGGATAATGAAAAGATGCTGAAATCCAATAAACCGAATTCATCTCTTAATTTGCCATCTTCGGAAGTGGAATATTTTCTTAAAATTAGATTTTTTTTAATAATATCCTGTGACGGGACGAACAAGTCGTACGCCTGGTGCTAAGCGACACGCCTGTCCATAACAGTTGCAGTACCACTCAGAGTTTTAAATCACAAAGTTCTGAGGGGCACTGTCACTACGCCCCCGTCACCCTGAAACTTTCCACAAGCAACAAGTTGACAAGTCCCGTGTGCCTTGTAATTTCACCAGCACTCTTACCCTTCAAAACCGGAACGCAGTAATGCTCTGTGTTGCCCGACAATAATTTCATATTTATTTGTTCTATTGCCAAAACTTTTACACAAGCAGTCTGTGGGTGGAGTATACGCAGACAACCCTGAATACATTAAGGGTGCAATGTAACACTCCGGGCGGCATGATCAAGGAGGCGCACACAGATGGCTTTCATGCCATTATGCGCAAGAAGGCTGCCTCACTCATAATGAGTGCCTTAGCCGTTGTTGCCAACAGCCTGGACTGCCCCTATCAACTACTTTATGTGCAACTACACGTAATAGGGTAGTGGTCTAGTGGCATTTCTCTAGACTTAAGTAATTTTGTATTGTACTAATCATAGAACGTAAGAAAAATTTCCTGTATTATTAACATTACTATGGATCATGGTCCGTAGAATAATTCTATTCTACTTATTATTTGTTCGAGCTTTCATTTGTTATTTGTTCGATCACAAATCCGGTGATAACCACTTCTAGTTTATTATTTCTTTGATCACGAGGTCACAAACTGATAATTCCTAATCTTAGGAACAATTCGTGGAACACTGAGCTGATTTCTTTGTGTGATAAGACGAGTAATGACGTCCTTAACTATTTTTCTTCTGTTCCAATAAACATCAGCATTCTATCATACCATATCGTTTCAATACCGTCAAATTCTGAATAAAACTTACAATGAAACAGAGGGCTTGCTGCAACTTGTTTCATAATTATTTTTATATAACCATTAACTAATAATTTTAATGTTAAATATTGAAAATCGTTTTTAAGCTGTAATATAAAGAAATTTGCCCAGAAAGATGCCTAAAATACACATTTACTTAGTTCTAATAATAAAATGTATAGCTTTATGAAGATTATATAATTTAGGTTCCCTTGTCAATGCTTACTTCAATGCTATAAAAGCTTTATTTACATTTGTTTTACTTGCATTGTATTAGATTAAGTTATATTGAAAGAAATTCATTTTAATTGTTTTGTATGTAAACGCCGATATAGTGAAAAATATTAGTAAGAAACTCTATGTGTGTGAAAACTTGATTGTTTTAGAGAAACAAATAAAGATTTTGACTTTGTACGGAGAAATTTATAATGGCTTTGCAAAATTGTCAACCAAGAAAAAAATAATGCGTCTACAGGTACACAGATTTACGAGTATAGAGGCGGCAAGATTCTCGGGATGAAACAGGTTTATTAGATTTTGTACATTTGCCGTTAACCGATTTCAATAAAACATGGCAAACATATGTAACGTACACAGCAAGCAAACTTTTGAGATCGGTTTTTTCCTATATAAAGTTAGAATTACTTTAGGATCTTATCACTCTTGTTTCAAGCAAACCTGTCGGTGAGTCTGCCTTGATACTTTGTTTGATAAAAAAAAAATTATTCTCAATACAGAGTACTAAAACAATCATAAAAAAAACCGACCTCAAAAGTACGTGGAATTACAATTCATTGCCAAGTTTTATTGAAATCGGTTACCGGAAAGTGCGCAAACCCGGATTCATCCCCTAGTTCGCCACTATACAGGACTTGACACAGGAGACAATAAAAATCGATTCTCTCTACTCAAAGTATATTGAGAGAGAAAAACGCCTTGAATTGGAGTATAGCAAAATCAACCATTAAAATAATTGCTCCTTATAGTCAAATTTAGGCGCTATTTATAAAAATGAATCTTCATGCGTGAACAGCCACTCTTAGAGGTGGATGATATTGTTTAAAAATAAATGGGACCACTATGGAGGTATCCTAATTCCAACAAATATAATAATAAATAATCATGAAAATCGGTTCACAAATATCGGAGTTATCGCGTATCATACATACAAAAAAAACATAGAGTCGGAATTGAGAACCTCCCGTTTTTGAAGTCAGTTAAACAATATACGGTATTTAGATACGAAAAAAATTGTCAAGTTTCCACTTAAAAGTGCATGGATACATTAATTATTGTGAAATTTATATTGCATTGTAGCCATAATCAGAAAGTAGCTGAATCAACGGTATTTATTATATTATATATTACCTCAGGATTAATTTATGCTTGCTTGTTAAGCATTATTATCGTCGATGAGTCATTTATTTTGTTACCCGTGTAAGGCTTATCAAATTAGTAGTCAAGTGAACGAGATACACGGTGTTAGTAAAAGTAAAACGTCACTCTTCAAATCTGACTTCGCCACAGTGTACAGATTACTATTTTCAAAATTAAATCCAAACAACTCACTGAACTCAACTCAAAAGAACAGCATTTTCCTCGGAACTATTGATACCGAACTATTAATATTATTACTACTTCTCTATTCTGTCTATAGTCCCACTTAGAGCGGTTACACACTCCGATTTTTATCAACGATGCAAACGCGATACAGTTGCGATGCAGTCGTTAATTTTCTATCTTTATGTTGCTTAAAATCGCCGTGTGTAACCACTCTTAGAGAGGCCTTGGGTAGTACTTTCCAGGTGGATTAAATTGTCGTAAATTGCTTTGATGTACGCAGGTTTTCGTCATATTTCGTTTCACCGCAAACTTCACACATAAATACCGAAAAGCTAGAGGTGGAAGCCCGTATTGGAACCCACGACCCTCTGTTGATAGGTCAAACAATTAGTCTATCACGACTTTAAGTAATACTTAAAAGCATTACAGTCGTCACCAAATAAGAGGCCAAAGACACTTGTCATCGTGTCGCGAATAGGGATGTGGACTAATCATATCGCTAATTACATTATACGATTTTCACGAGAAATCGATTCAAAATTTTAAGAGTTTGTGATTGTTTAGATTATTTTTTGGTCCATTGTTGTTCAGAGGGCCAAAAAAGGCCAAATCGTGGAATTCTGTTAAAAGCAATTCATTTACAGAATTCCTTACAATTCTGTAGCAATTCCTCTTATTTTCGTAAAATTGTCCCGCATTCCAATGAATTGTATCGTATTCTTTTAATTTTGATTTTATTTTATTCATAAATTGTTTATTACGAGAATTTAGTGTAAATAAGTATGTTCATCAATAAAACAAATACATAAGTCAATATTTTTTCCAAGAAATCGAAGTGACTCGGTAAAATTCGGCGATTAATTGCTTACAACACTATTATTTAAGAAAAAAATAGCTTGAAGACGTAACTGTTTTCAGGGCGTTTCGGAGTAACTCAAAATTGTCATAAACAGTATTTCAAATATGTTTTGTCGCATTATGTAATGTTTCAATAAAATTTATGTATTTTTTTAAACTCAATTATGCTAATTATTGTTTGTTTATTATATAATACACAGTCCAAAATACGCTAATATTAATAAGTTATTAAGAAAAAAATATTTTGATAATATTTAAAGAGATTATGAAAACGAACGAAAAGGAGTTTTGTCACCTTTTCTAGTGTAAAAAACCGCGTGATAAAAATGCGAGGATCATCATCGCACATTACTTTTTTTTTGGAGAATGATGGGACATACGTTCTAACTTAGCTATATACTAAATTTTGAGGCAAGAAAACAATGGTTTTGTATACAAAAAACAAATCCTGTAAAATAATATTTTTTCAAGAAATTACATAAGAACAAAGTTCAAGGATGTCATTATTTATGATATAAATAAATCGGCTCGGTAAATTCCTCAAATTGTTTCTTATTACCAGTTTGAGACCACTATGGGTCTCTATGACATTACATCATCCTAATTTATTATTTGTTCGTGCACGATACCTTCTGACTCTACCTTCTAGTTACTTTTATTTTATTTGTATAATTTATCATTTGTTTGTGGAATGCTTTATGAATGAATTTATATCTATTTATCTTATATCTTACCTGGTTATCGACATTCCTAAAAATAAAAACATCATTATTAGTAGTGGAGTTCTTTGTGCAAGAAAAAATGCTGCCTTCTCTACGAGTATTACTACCGCCGTAGTATGAGCATTACCTCGTTTTGGTATCAACTCCTGTCTCAGGGTGACGAACAGTGCTCCACAGATCTTTAAAACTTTGGGGGCATTGTAATTCTAATGGATAGACCAGTCGCTTACCACCAGGTTTTGCTCGCCCCGTCACTTGACATCATAAAAAAAATTAAGCTGTAAATTATATAAAGTTACGTGTAATGTCATTACGAATCTTACGAAAGACGAAGTCGCAGGCAATAGTTTATGTGCAATCACATACGTGACTACGCATGCGCATTATTTTGCAACAATACAATATTGACTAGATATTTTGTATTTATTCAGTGTTTAATTGTAAAAGTTTTACGTTATTCAGTTTTGTTTTGGAGTTTCCTCATCATGAGCTTACGGCAAAAAGTAAAATTTATTAAACGATTGAAATATTCTGTTTTTTTAGCAGTGAAGTACTGTCACCATGACTATTTCGACCCATAACTAAGTATTATAAAAAAGAAAAAAGAACTTCAGTACATAGTCATCATCAGAGACGGGCACTGGGTTAAAATCCAATCAACCTGCCCGGGTTTTAACAGGATTTTTACCCGTACCCCCGGTTCTGAAACCATTTCTGCCCAAAAACGGTGATTTTAAAAATGCAGCGCGAATGGATGAGGATTTCACCGCCGAGATGGAGATATAACACCGCGTCACCAGTCAGCATATGACCACGAAACGTCCGGAAAATAGGAAGGTGTAAAAAAAAAACCTATTAAACGCGTTTATTCCCGTAAATGTTACAATGCAAATATTAAAAGTATATAGAAATGGCGAATACGGGATTTAGTACAATTCCATACTTATTGCAAACTTCAATGTAAAAAATTTTATTTAGACGATAATTTCAGCACAGAGTACCGACCTCAAAAATTGGTGGAATTATATCTATTTGCCAAGTTTAATTGAAATCTGTTACCGAAAAGTGCGCTAAACCGGATCCATACCCTAGTTTGTAGAAAATATTCCACCTCTAAGGGTGGCTTAGAGAAGGAATATCCTCTTTAAATTTAAATGGCACTAACAAAAAAAGAATCATCAAAATCTGTTCACAAATCCGGAGGAGCCGGAGTAATCGCGTAACATGCACAAAAAAAGTACTGTCGAATAGAGAATTCATCATTTTTTGAAATCAGTTAAAAAAGTAGTTTGTACAACATTTAATTTTCCCGTTTGTCTAATCAGAGTTATGATATTTGCCGAATCGTTTTTCATTCCCTAGTTTGCCACCCTCAGAGGTCTATTTTCGAGACGAATATTTTCTTCAAATTTAAAAGGGGACCACTGCTGAGGTATCCTCTTTGTAACAAAAAAAAAATAATTAAAATTGGTTTACAAATGTCGGAGTTATCGCGTAACATTTTTTTTTAAATCGGTTAAAAAAGAGACAACTCCACACAATAACTACATTGCGATCCTGTGGATTCTCACTACTAAGGATGCACATTACGATTCTATTTTTATGAAAATCGATTATAGTGCTTACGATCTAACGATTTTCAAATCCAGTCAGTACAAAGGCAAATCGAATCTTCTAGATCAGAAAGCAAAAAAATGTTATAATAATATCATTCAATTTTAATAAAACTCGATTGAAAACAAATATTTAGTTGTAAATAGTTTTTGTCCTCGATTTTGGGCTTCAATGGGTTACCCGGGCGCTTGCTCATCTCTGGTTATTATAAACGAACATTGGTGATATTTTAGAGACGAATTTGGTGCAACTACATTTTCTCGCTCATTTCATAGAAATTACAGTGATTAAAACAATTACTTCCTACAGTAAGTTATCTTCTTTTGTTCTCAAAGAATTAACTTGAGAGTTGCGACAGAAGTTGCCTAATCAATTACGCGGCTCTTTGTTGATAATAAATTGTTTTAACGCAAAATTTTGAATGGCCATTAGGTACGTAAGATAATGTTACGTCACGAGGTTATTACTCAAATAGGACAATAAAATATTATTACGAGAATAAAAATACACAAAAGATTAGAAAGAAGAAGTTTGTTTACTTATATTGAAGTATAATTATGATTGTATAATCATACCGCAAATTTTCCTAAAACGTACAAAATAAAATCACAACCTGTAAATCGAAAAAGGTTCACAAATCCTTTTGGTCTAGCGTGGCGGACGACGACCTAAACCCTCTCCCGTGAAAGAAGATCCGTGCCCAGTAATGGCACACATGACGGTTGAAGGATGATGATAGCATCATTATTATAAATAAATAATAAAAGAAATCTCGTGTTTTCACCCCTTTACCCTTACAAAGGGTCTCGTGGTCTTTTTAGATGGATTTGAATAGTTACAAAGAAAAATGTTGCAAGAATAAAACTCGACTTACGACAAAAATTATGTTGACCGGGCGCTTGCCGAGAGTGCGAGATTTATAATTTTATTGTGTTATTAAAAAGTCTGGACTTACTTGCAAAGGTCAAGCTTTTTGTCCGGAGCATCAAAATTTCAGAATGGTAACCCTAAACGCAATAGAATGTCTAACGACATGTCATATGCCAAAATCTGTCAAGCCGTTTGGGCTGTACAGCGTGAAAAAGAAATGCACATACATACATTCGAAAAGGAAAAAATAATATCAATGTATGAATGAATAATTATCAAAACAAACTTGTTCAATGGATTTAGAATTAGCAACAAAGGACTATTAACAGTCCCTACTATTTCGACCACAATACTTCAGAACACAGACACAGATATTTAGCTATAACCTGTGACAGTTAAATACACGAAAAGTTGACCATGATGCATTATTTAACATTGTTATCTTGTCAAGCAGGCTGATTTTGTTAGGTATTTTGTACTTATTTATTATGATCAAGAGAATCGTTTGGTACCCATTATTGTAATAAAAACAATTTCATGAAATTTTCACGCGAGCAAATTATAAAATTGCCGGATGTGGAATAATAAAATTCGTAACAGAAAAAGCTCTTACGCAGAATTACAATGTAATAGATCTATTACGTTCGTATTTGCATCTGGTACTTTGTTGGATGCGATTTTCTGTCGTATTTACGGAAATAATTTCACAATAACACTTGTAAACTATAATTGACATTTTCCGCGGTTTTGCCTCGTCATTTCATTGTAGTTACGCGCGTTTACGTTTGCGGCGGTAATCAGACTTAATTCTAAATACAATGGTCAGCGCAAGTCGTACCCGTAACAATGAAACTGTACTATACAAGCTTCGGTTACACTTGTGTTATCGCTCAGAGAGATTGTATTTCGGTTGCTTACGTCATGGATCCAGAGGAATGTTCCATGGCATAGTAAAATTATTTGCGAGTGTTTCTTAGTTGCGAGGTGACGTAGTTTTAATTGCACAGGTGTCACGGTATACAACTAAGGACAAGTACAACAACGTCTCTCAATTGAATTACATCGCAATTTTACTGTAAATTATAAACATGCCTGCGAAACTTGGATTATAGACACGGTAAGTAAAGCTGTAGCGTGACTAACTGTCAATATCAACACTTTTCGAAAATTCAAAATTCATATTCATCTTTTTGAGTAAGCAACTCTAGGGGTTGCTCTTTGTAAATATACATTTGATGATAGCTGTGTAAATAACCTTTAGAATAAAGTTTTTGTTTCACAATAGTTTTGAGCCTGGTAAGTAAATGTCATATTTTAAATATCAATCGGAATCTTGTTATAGAAGTGTTACATTTGATCCTTATATGATTTTAGATTTAGATTTAGATTTATTGTATTATCTTATAAACTTTACATTATTATATACAATATATTGTATTACAAGAATCGTTACAAATAGTAATAAATGTTATATTTCAAAAAATTACAAATATCCAGTACAAGTTTTGTACTACCTACGTAATTTTAACATAGTCAATGTAGTTGTGTGAAATAATGTAGGAACATATTAAATAATAATTATGTCAATATAATGATTGTATGCATAAAGTTTATGTAATTTATTGATTCCTGTAAAATAATATCTATACCTAATAATCTATAAATTACAACATATATTACAAGACCATGTCCCTATATTCTTCAGTGGAATAATACGCGTTATCCAACAAAAAGTCTTTCAGTCGACGATCATTAGGCTCATTTTTTAAGTCAACGGGTAGGTGCTCATAATAAGCCGGGCCGACTACGCGCGGATTTTTTTCAGTGAGTGCTAACCGTCGCGGTACGACCCTCAGTCGTTCTGTGGAGCGGGTGTTATAACGGCTTTCATGCCTCTCAAAGTTGTGTAAGTTTTTTCGTATGAATGTGATTATTCCATATAA